TTGGCAATAATGGTGTACCATACAGGTACGAGTCTTCTTGTAGGTCACGGAAAGAAGCGATTAGTTACGAATGGTAAAGCGGGACAATTTATTTCGGATTACCCACATGGTCACGTGGCTCTTAATTTGCTACAGCTATGTTCATTGGTCATTTGGAATTGCCGAAAGAGACTAAGTGTCACTGGCTGAAAGTTCATTTTGAATAATCCAAGTGTATATTGTAGAGACAAATTCAGCCTGATTGAAAGGTTAGAGGTGATTGCGCCTCCATCCAACAAATAATGCTCTCTCCACTCCGCCCCGTTGAACAACCTAAAGTCATCACTGACAACCAGTCATGATGGCTACGGGCACAAAATGTTTTCCTCGTCACTTTTTTTATTCAGAGACTTCAATTTTCCTCTGGACTCTTGTTCCGCGTATTCCAATTGTCTACACTTTCCAGAAACATGATCGTTGACGTCTGAGATAAGTCCCCGGATGTAATACGATGAGACACAAACTGCGCTTGTCATTTCGCTATCTTCTTTGACAGTACGCAAAAGCCGTTCCCGAAATAATGACGGTTTTTGCCTTTTTGGTTAATCAGGATCTTAATGGTGAAGAATTCTTCATGTTATTGAAATAATTCTTGCTGACCCAGTTGCCTCTGTTAGAATCAATATGTAGTTCTCAGTCAACTTCGGCATCAGTTTATATTCCTGTTTTTATATCTCTGTCGTGGTTTATGGAAACATTAACACCTTATCAGCTGTTGTTAGTGGGTGCCAAGCGTTGGCACAAACCACAGTATGTGTACGCACAATGAGGAATGGTCTTTGGGTAGTAGTAGTAGTAGTAGTAGTTGTAGTAGTTGTAGTAGTAGTAGTAGTAGCGGTAGTAGTAGTAGTAGCGGTAGTAGTAGTAGTAGCGGTAGTAGTAGTAGTAGTAGTAGTACAAAACAGTGTGTGTATGTATAATGAAGAATGGTCTTTGAGTAGTAGTAGTAGTAGTAGTAGTAGTAGCGGTAGTAGTAGTAGTATAAATCACAGTGTGTGTCCTATGCATGATGAAGAATGGCCTTTGAGTAGTAGTAGTAGTAGTAGTAGCGGTAGTAGTAGTAGTAGTAACGGTAGTAGTAGTAGTAGTAGTACAAAACACAGTGTGTATGCATGATGAAGAATGGTCTTTGAGTAGTAGTAGTAGTAGTAGTAGTAGTAGTAGTAGTAGTAGTAGTAGTAGTAGTAGTAGTAGTAGTAGTAGTAGTAGTAGTAGTAGTAGTAGAAGAAGAGGTAAACACCTCGTCGTCTTCGCTTCCATGGTACGACCCAGAATATACAAGGGCGCCATGGAATATGATAATCGTAACATTCTCCAGAATAGTCCCGTACACATTCTCAGACGCATCTATGCTGACCTTTGGTAATTCAAGTTAGATCATGTATATCATTGAATTTTATGTCCCCTTTGACAATAATGTGATTGACAAGATTCATGAGAAACAGCAAATATGCGGACCTCGCCTACGAAATGTCACGCTCGCATCCCACGTACGACGCTGAGTCCCTACTGTTCGTGGTGCCTTAGCTTTGGAAGCTTTCAATCTCTTGACTGAGACTGGAAGAGTGCCCTGGTTTGCTACCAGGATCAGTCCTTCTGGGTAAAGTAGAAGGCAGAAACGTTGGAGAATCTCCTGATTCTCTAAAACGTGGCTTTGGTTTGGCATCGCCCCCTGGGGGAAGGCCCATTCTGGATTGACTGAAAAGGGGACTTTGGCCCTGAGCTGATAATAAGCCTAATCTGCCTGATAGTGCCAGGATAACTGGTACTCTCTTTGATATATTCTTTTTTCTGTATATACCAAATTATATATGAATGACGACAGTAATAATCCATGAAACTTCCGAATCGAAATCGTTTTCGACAGGTTTTCTTTAGGTTTCCAGAATAGAATTCTCAATCTCATACTCAGGTGTTTTCTTTGACCTTTAGCAGTGAGTGAGTGAGTGTTTCGCCGCACTCAGCAATATTCCACCTATATGGCGGTGGTCTGTAAATAATCAAGTCTGGACCAGACAATCCATTGATCTACGCAATTGGGAACCAATGACATGTGTCAACCAAGTCAGCGAGCCTGACCACCTGATCCCGTTAGTCCCCGTTTACGACAGGCATGGGTTATGGAAGGTCAATTCTAACCCGGATCTTCATGGGTAGACCTTTAGCAGACTCTGGCTGGACAATATATAGATATGAAATGTGAAGAATGTTTTGATCAACATGTGTTTGTTTGTAGTTTAACGCGGTACTCAGCAGTTTTCCAGCTATAAAGATCGATCTACAATATATGGACACAATGACATGTGTCAACCAAGTCAGCGAGCCTGACCACCCGATCCCGTTAGTTGCCTCATACGACAGGCATGGGTTTTGAACACCAATTCTTGCCCGAATCTTCACGGGGTATTTTAGACAGAGACGATAGATTTCATTGCCTTCCTCCTGTCGGGAGTTCCCTGAACAACAGCACAAAACACAAACGTTCATCGATATGGATTCCATTGCTCCCGGACACGACTGAATGTGTACTGAACATATTATTACTTTCCAAAGGGAACTGTCCGTACATCGTTCGTTTTCGAACCCTGTATGAGGGTTCGTCATACAGACCCTGAAACAAATACATGTATACCCCATGCACCCCATGGAAGTCTGGAATGTGTGGCAAGTCTAGCTTACCATAGTTTCAGTTTCTGAAAATGAAGACAGTCTCTGGCTTCCTTATTATTATATTATATTAACATAATTTAAAAATGTGTCAAATATGTTCACTTCAGAGTCTAAAGAAAATGTAAATGCCTCGACGCCGATTATAAAGACCACCTGGCATGTTCTATAATGTTACGAGGTATGGAATCGGTCCTCAAGAACAGTGTTTAACGAGAGTGACTTGTACTAGAATGAAGACTAATCTGAAGGAACGAGTGACGGAGTGTTCTTTAATAGTTTGGGCAATATTCCTTAAAGGTCATGGAGTGGACATTAATAATTAGCTCTGAACATTAATCCGAAGAATCGAACATACGCTCTTAAACCCCGCTGCTTCCACCGTACTAAACCTTTTTATCCTGGATTAATGTCCGATAACTACAAACCTTCATCGACTACAATGTTTTGAGGACACGCTTTGTGTTGTAAGTTGAAAGATAGATTCGTGTTGTATAATCCCTTTTATAGATGCTAAATACTTTTTCTGCGACAGAAAAAATAATTTAACGATGGTAACAATTATTCGACACAACTTGGCCATATTAGTGCGCTTGGTGGTGTCTTCGTCGTCTTCTCTGAGACTATTCTCCATTTGCCGATACTCTGCGGGTTTTCACCTACAGACAATAGTTAAACGTTGTTCTCCTTGTTCTCTCTTCTAATTGATCTCGGAGTTTGTTTCGATAGAGGTTAATTTTTCAAAGCATAAAATCATTTGTGTTAATGAATAATACTGCAAAATCAAATAATAGAAATGTATTGGATACTTTCAGCACAGTTAACTGTCTTCGCAATAAACCATTTATCCGTATTGTAATAGTGAGTGAGTGAGTTAAGTTTTACGCCGCACTCTGCTATATTCCAGCTTCCAGGTCTGTAAATAATCGAGTCCGGACCAAACAATCCAGTGATCTGGATCGAGCATCGATCTACGCAATTGGGAACCGATGACATGTGTCAGCCAAGTCAGCGAGCCTGACCACCCATCCCGTTAGTCGCCTCTTACGACAAGCATGGGTTGCTGGAGATCAATATTCTAACCTGGACCTTCACGGGTTCATATTGTAATACGGTCATTTGCAAGTAACAATATTTATCTATAGCTAGAACAATGTACGTACTACAAACTTTGATTCAGTGTTAGACTTTTGTTCTCCGTGGGTGAGGTGATGTGAAATTGGGTTTAACGTCGTGCTTGAGAATATTTGGCTCATATGACGACCTGCATGCGTGTGTATGTGTATGTGCGGCTGCTTGAACTAGCCCAGACTAGCCCAGGTTTTATAGTTCTAGCCCACTGAAATACCATGCCGCAGTGAAGCATGAATACCCCACTCAGACACATTATACTGACTCCGAGCCGACCAGCCCTTGTTGTACCCATTAATACCGAGCGCCAGGCAAGGACCAACAAGTACTATATTTTAACGTCTTTTGGTATGACGTTGTCGGGGATCGAACCCGCGACCTTCCGCTCTCCGGGCGGACGCTCTAACCAGTACACCAGGGAGGCGGTCTGTTCTCCGTGGGAATTCCTAGTCTCATGTAATGTAACGTATGTTTGTTGTAGGAGACTTTATGGTGTTGAGACGTGATGATTTGTCGTAGGTCGGTACTCACAATATCAATGACAAGACTACCAAGTTCTCAAAAATCAGCTGACAGGTATAGTTTCTGTTGCTCGTCTGTTAAGACCAACGGCGCCAAAGAGTCAATCTCTGGAACTGCACCTGGTGCCAGCATCCAGTTACATGTCGGTCAAGTAGGCAAAACAAGTCAACAGTAAAGACATCCCTTTGCATGTTGCCAGCGGCGCCACTCTATTCTTTCTAACCATGTTTCTGCTCCACTATCCCGTGAAGTATGCTCTTATGCCCGAGGCGCGTCGTAATCTCAAGCGATGTTGCTGTGGGTGATGATGTCCTTCCCAGGAATTCTTAGATACAATGTATACTTGTAGATGACGTCCGGTAGGTGACTGTCCGTGTCTCAGTTCTGGCGAGCAAAACGCTCAACGATCCTGAATGGTCACCTGGTCACGTTTTGGGAAAGTGGCACTGCGTTTGTTCTGGTGAGTGGGGTATACTGCGCTTTGAGCAATATTCTATCACCTTCATGTCTGGGGAGATTGTGATTCAGTAACCCAGGCTTGTCGTAAGAGGCGACCGCCGCAATATAGCTGGAATATTGCTGAGTGCGGCGTAAAACTAAACTCACTTACTCATTTTAGTGTTACTGATTTAAGTCTGTAGTCAACAGCATAAGAATCGAACTACGCAACTGGAAAAAGATGGCATGTGTTAACCAAGTCAGCGAGCCTGACTCCAAGATCCCGTTATTCGCCTCTTACAAGCGTGGATTGCTGAAGACCAATTCTAACCCAGATCTTCATGGGCCGTAGCGTTCACAAGAGAAGATATTTGTGACCACACAAAATGTTGATTATTGTTGTTTCATAACATTTGGAATCTAGCACTACAAATGGTAATATATATGAAAGGTTATCAATGATCCATAAAATGTCGTTAGGATTGTTACGTGAGGGAACCCAACCACAAACACGTTGGATTCATCAATTTATAACCTCACCCGTCCTCACGAGTCCCAGCAAATGTGACATACGGCAACCCTAATTCCACATACAATGATTGACCCTTTCTCCGAATTTGGAACAGTTTTGCAAGTCAAATAATATCTGTGTACTGATAAAAGTTGCAAATGTCATTGGTAACATCTTGTTTCATGGTCTTATCAATTTTTGCCTTTCTCTGACGTCAATCGTCTTTCCTATGTTTAACCTCGCAAGTAAATGTCGTGTACTTTCCTGATATTTTGCAAAATATATTGGCATATGGATGCTATTAAAAGTTATTTTTGCCCTATTAGATCTTAGAGACAGCATGCTCCAATCTACGTACCCCGTAACTGATACGGTAGATATTCCACATGTCTGAGCCCACTCTTGGTTTATTAAATCTCATCAATCTTTCTTTTCTTGCGACGTTTTCCCCTTACACAATTATGTCAACACTGTAATGGGTAAGCTAAACCTTGTTAAGCACGATCAGACATAACGATCGACGTCAGATGGCTTTATAAGGAGAAATATAAAGATGCTGTTTATGACCGGCCTGAATCGGCTGTTTGACAAGCCTTCATTATAAGTAAAGTCACGATGTGAAGAGAGAGGCTGTCATGAACACTTGTGGAGCCGCCGACACACCTTCGAATTACTTGTTTATCAAGGTCCCTGATTCTTCTCCGGGGACAGGGCATATATTTTATGAGGAGGAGGCGCCGCTTGTGTGTTTTTGTTTTGTTTGTTTGAAGTGTAACGCCTCACCCAAAATCTCCCAGATATAAATAGTGAGTAAGTATAGTTTTACCCCGAATTATGCAATATTTCAGCGATATCACGGCGGGGGCATAGGCGGATCCAGAGGGGGGGTGCAGGGGTTCGCACCCCCCCCTTTTGTCCTGAAAGTTATTAAATGACCATTGAAACTCTCATGAAAACGGGGGTGCACCCCCCGCCCTTTCCAAAGTTTGTGGTGGACCAATGATCGATATCTCACACTAAGATGATTATGAAAAGAAAGTCTTAAAAACCGCCAATCCATCTCAACAGTTAACTGTAATTTCTGAATACAACAGTCTATAACATTGATTTCAATGGGACAGCAGTGCCATATCTCTTCACGACAATAATCATTCCCAATATTTGGCGCATACCCTAGAGTTTTCAGCTAGTCAGGTGGCTGGTTTGCCCTTACACCAAATCGCTTGGTGTGACTTTCATCCCACTTCAGAATATGATGGGTTTGTTTCACAAACAAGAGCTCGACCACAACAGAAACGAGTAACAGGTCTTGTATTCCAGCACAGCTGGTTGAATAAGTACAGTTGGCTAGTGTACAGTCCAGCAGCAGGTGGAGGCTTATGTAAAATGTGTGTTCTGTTTCCGAACCTGGGTGATGAGCGAAAGTGCGCAGGGTCTTTAGTAAAGTATCCTTTCACAAATTTGTCTAAGGCAACTGGGAAAAATGGTGCATTTGAGACTCACCAGAATACCTTTTTTTCACAAACAAGCTGTTCTTGCGGCGTTGGACTTCCTACGCATTTACAAAGAACCTGAAAAGTCGTTACCATATCGGATATCTCAACAGAATAAGGAGATGTACGACTTGAACTGCCACATTCTGAAACAAATAGTTGACACAGTGATACTCTGTGGCAGACAAGGTTTGTCTCTGAGGGGGGCACAGAGATCACAGGACATCAGAACAGCCAAACAAGGGAAACTTTCTGGCCATATTAAATCTACTGGCAGATAGAGATGACAAACTACGTCATCATTTAGAGTTTGGCAGAAGAAACACCCAATATACCAGCAAAACAGTTCAAAATGAAATCATTGAAGTAGTTGGTGACCACATTCGCTCAGAGTTGGTCACTCAGCTTCAAAAAGAAGGGGCTGTGTTTTCTGTGATTGCAGATGAAGTCACAGATACGTTTTCCAATGTTGAGGTTCTTGGTCTTTGCCTGAGATATGTTGATCAAAATACAATGACTATCAAAGAGACATTCTTTGATTATGTACATTTAGAAAGAACAACAGGTCAGCATATTGCAGAGGCTATCTTAAAGTCACTGAAAGACCAAGGCATTGATATCACCAAGTGTCGAGGACAAAGCTATGATGGTGCATCCTGCATGTCTTCATGTCGAGTTGGCGTTCAGGCTCATGTTAAAACATTGGCACCTACGGCTTTGTACACGCATTGCAACAGCCATGTTCTGAATCTGAGTATTGCGGCTTCATGCAAACTCCCTCCAATCAGAAACATGATGGACAACATCAACCAAGTTTTTCTTTTCTTTGATAATTCACCAAAGGTTTTTAGAGAGAGTTCTGAAAGCGTTTTGCACTGATACGAAAAGAACTCGTCTTTGGGGATTTTGCAAGACTAGATGGGTTGAGAGGCATGTGTGCTTTGACGTCTTTCAAACGTTGTATAGCCACATTTGCACATGTTTTGAGGCCATCCTATATCCTCGAAACCATGCAGACATTTATCGTGATGAGAACTGGGCATGGGACAAAGAGACAACCATAAAAGTACCAGGGCTTTTGACCATTCTGAGAGATTCGCAATACATCATGGCGTTTGTGGTGGCCCATAATGCAACTTGAAGTTGTTAAACCACTTGCAGTCAAACTTCAAAAAAGGAACAATGACATCTGCATGGCTTACAAACTTATTGACGAAAGGGTATCAATGATCAAAACCATGAGGGCTGATGTGGATCAAAGGAGTCATGATTGGTATGTGGAAGCTTGTGCTATTGCAGAACAGCTTGATGCTGAAATACTTCTCCCTCGGATTGTGAAGAGGATGACACAGAAAGCGAATGCACCATCCCAATCTCCCGAAGAACACTTCAAGCTCAATTTGATCATTCCTTTCCTTGACCACCTGCAAGAAGAGATGAACACAAGGTTCAGTCCAGAGAACCGTCCTGGAATTGAACTGTTTGGTCTTCTGCCATGTGTGGTTGTTCAGCAACCAGATATACTACAGTTGGAAGCAAACCTAATGTTCTGGGAGAATGACTTGCCAATGGTGTCTTCTCTTCTGGCAGAACTCCGAAGTTGGCACCTTCATTGGTTGTCACAGGAATACCACCCTGAAGGTGCAATCGAAAGCTTGAAATCTGCTGATGAGGATGTTTTCCCTAACATCCGTAAGCTGCTCACAATTGCCGTTACACTTCCAGTTACAAGCACTAAAGCAGAAAGGACATTTTCCAGCCTAAAAGGCTGAAGATGCATCTGAGGAGTACCATGGGCCAGGAGCGCTTGACTGGACTGACACTGATCCACCTGAACCAGGACAAGAAAATAGTTTCTGATGAGATAGTTCACAAATATGTGAAAAAGCATCGCAGACGTATGTTTGAGAAATGCATCCTCTATCAGTAGTTTTCTGTGACACAAGTCTTAGTGTAGAGGTAACATACAAGTAACTAATTAATGCATCTGACTGTAACAAAGTGTAACACAGCCAAGTCTGTGAATAGTGTCTGTATGTTTGAAAGGTAATTTTAGGTAAACAATAAAATGAAAACCGAGTTTTTACGAGTTGAGTTAACTCTTATGCAGATTAATGTCTGCAACTAACCATTGGGTCACAAAGCCACAAGAGGCGGCGTGGAATGCTGTGTATATTTGCCACCTTATCCCAAACACACATTCTAAGCTTGCCATTTGGTCTCGGGCAAAAATGAACTATGCACCCCCCCTTTTTCAAAAAGCTGTATCCGCCCCTGACGGCGGGGGACACCAGAAATGGGCTTCACACATTGTAACCATATTGGGAATCGAACCCGGGTCTTTTGCGTGACGAGCGAACGCTTTACCCAATGGGCTACCCCACCGCCCTCAGTTTTTAAATAATGGTGTCTGGATCAATCAGTCCTGTGATTGACAACATGAGCATCTATCTACGCATTTTGGATACGATGACAAACATTACCCACTTACCGTGCCTGACAAGCTGATTTACACAGGGGGCTTAGCATCCGATCCCGTTAGTCGCCTCTTATGACAAACATTACCCACTTACCGAGCCTGACAACCTGATTTACAGAGGCTGCTTAGCACCCGATCCCGTTAGTCGCCTCTTATGACAAACATTACCCACTTACCGTTCCTGTCAACCTGATTTACACAGGCTGCTTAGCACCCGATCCCGTTAGTCGCCTCTTATGACAAACATTACCCACTTACCGTTCCTGACAACCTGATTTACACAGGGGGCTTAGCATCCGATCCCGTTAGTCGCCACTTGTGACAAACATTACCCACTTACCGTTCCTGACAACCTGATTTACACAGGGGGCTTAGCATCCGATCCCGTTAGTCGCCTCTTATGACAAACATTACCCACTTACCGAGCCTTACAACCTGATTTACACAGGGGGCTTAGCATCCGATCCCGTTAGTCGCCTCTTATGACAAACATTACCCACTTACCGAGCCTGACAACCTGATTTACACAGGATGCTTAGCACCCGATCCCGTTAGTCGCCTCTTATGACAAACATTACCCACTTACCGAGCCTGACAACCTGATTTACACAGGGGGCTTAGCATCCGATCCCGTTAGTTGCCTCTTATGACAAACATTACCCACTTACCGAGCCTGACAACCTGATTTACACAGGCTGCTTAGCACCCGATCCCATTGGTCGCCTCTTATGACAAACATTACCCACTTACCGAGCCTGACAACCTGATTTACACAGGCTGCTTAGCATCCGATCCCGTTAGTCGCCTCCTATGGCAAGCATTACCCACTTACCGAGGCCTGAC